GCCGCCGAGTGCTCCCGGTACCAGTCGATGGTCCGGCGCAGGCCGTCCTCCAGGGACACCTCTGGCCAGAACCCGAGCAGGCTCTCCGCGCGGGACGTGTCGCAGAAGCGAGCGGCAATGCCGTCTGGCTTGGAGTGGTCCCAGAGGACAGAGGACGAAAAGGCGGCTCAAGCATGAACTCTCGGAGCTCCGCGGAGATTTCGGGGAACGGCCACGAGGGTCCAGGCGGGGAAACCAAAAATACCCGTAGCACCCCACAATACCAGGTAAGAGTGAGAAAGCGGCGGGGTCGTCGGCAGTATGCGAGGCTCCGAAGAATCCCGCCGCGGGCGCCGATGTTCTAAACTGTACCGCACGAGCCCGCCGCAGGCGCCAATGTTTGTGTCGAAGCAATGTGTGTGGCGGGGGGGTCGCGGGGTGGGTCGCGAGGTGGGGCGAGGGGTGGGTCGCGGACGGGTCGCGGGCGAGGGCGACGTCAACAACGCAACAGCAACGCAACGACAACAACTACAGCAACGACAACAACAACAACAACAACAACAACAACAACAACAACAACAACAACAACAACAGCAGCAGCAGCAACACCAGCAACACCAATACCAACAACAACACCAACAACAACAGCAACAACGACAGCAGCAGCAGAAGCAACAACCACAACACCAACCGCAGCAGCAACAACAGCAACAACAATACCACCAATCCCAATAACAACAGCAACGACAACAACACTAACATCATCAACAACATCAAAACCAACCACAAGGACAACGACACCACGACAAAAACAACCATACCAACAGCAACGACAACACCATCATCACCAACCAACAACACCAATAACATTACCATCAACAGCAACAACAACCACGACAACAACAATTCGCCGGCCCAACGGGCCAGGGCGTGCTAAGATCTCCGGTAACTGGTTAACAGTATTAACAGTATTTCTAGTTCGCGCGCGCGGGGCGGCCCCTGGGGGTCCCCCGGCGAAAAGTACCCCGACCAACGCCCGGTCGCCGCCCGACCAAGTCTACTCAGAGATGGTTTTCCTTCTGGGTGCGGCCTCTCAGGCTCCCCAGAGCGCGCTCAGAGTGCCCCAAGAGGCCCCCAAGACTGCCCAAGAGGCCCCCGAGACGCCCAAAGAGCGCTCGAAGACGCCGAAGATGACCCCAAGACGGCCCAAAAGGCCCCCAAGACAGCCCAAGAGGCCTCCAAGACGCCCCAAGAGCCTTCCAAGAGGCCTCCGAAGAGAGCCCCAAGAGGCCAAAATCGTTGATTGTCATTGGTTTTTTCGATGTGTTTTGTGTTCTGGCTTTTTCGGCTTCCGGACGCTCCAAGACGGCCCAAGAGGCCCCCAAGACCGCTCCAAGACGGCCCACGAAGCTCCCAAGACGGCGCCGAAACGACCCAAGAGAGCCCTCAAGACGGCCCAAGTGCCGCCCAAGACGGACCAAGAGGCCCCAAGACGGGCCCAAGAGGGACTCAGGAGGGATACCGAGAACTCAAAAATGGAGCCCTCCGTCCCAGAAGGCGCCCAGGAGGTCCCAAAGAGGCCCCAAGAGGCCTCCAAGAGGCCCCAAGATGTCGCCAAGAGGCCCCAGGAGACTCCCAGGAGGCCCAAAAGAAGCCCCAGAAGGCTTCAAACATGTCTCCCAGGCGCCCCCGAACGGCCTCTCAACAGACCCCAAGAGGCCCCCCTCAAGAAGCATCTTGACGACGACTCTATTTCGCCCCATCGAGAGACGACCCCCAGGGAACTGCTTCACCATCAAAACTCCCCACGCAACGCGTCCGAACGACACCCGCCCCCAAGAGCGCAACATGGGCAACGAACACACAGACAAAAACCAGCGATGCCATATCACGGGCCGGCGGAATGAGCGAAGCGATTCAATAACAGCAGCAACCGCAAGAACAACCATAACACTCAATTTACCCGAGTGCCCTATGCTTTGATATGCGGCATGCATCCATCACGATAGCCCTCCCCTCACGGAGGACCATTTCTTGCACAAGGAGGTCCGATATTCCCATGCCCTGACCTCCCGCCCGAGGCTTTGTCAATATATTGTCCGGGGGACTTCAACATCTCCGGCCTGGCTGGCACATCGCCTTCGCAATCATCCTGCTCATGCCTTGCGTCTGTGTATCACCATCCCCCGATGGCCCAAAGCTTCTGGGAGACGCCCCACAGCGTTTGCCCCCCAGAGCCCCTTTGGACAGCCTCTGGAGCCCTCTGGAGAGCCCCAGGGCCTCTCAGAGAAGCTTCAGAAACTCTGTGGAAAAAATGAGGGCCCCTGGAAGACGCTTTAAACCTGAATTGAAGGATTTCGGGCCATCGTGAAGGAGGCCTCGAGTCATTTTTTTGAAGAAGGCTTGCATCGGAGGAGCTTCTGAGCCTCGGGGAAGGAAGAAGAAGAGGGAGCAGGAGGAAGAGGAGGGGGAAGGAGGAGAGAGGACGAGGAGGGAGGAGGAGAAGGAGGAGGACGACGACGACGACGCCGACGAGGCCGACGGGGTTGCCGCCGCGGGCTCCCGGGCCGCCACCGGCACGCGGAGCGCGCCGGGGAGGCACCGGCGCAGAGCGCCGACAGTGCGCGCTGCAGTCTTGAGGATCGGAAACTGGGGACTGGAGAAGCCCCAGGGCCTCTGGGAGTCGTGAGCTATGAAGGGGCCCTGGGACACACAAATAGGTACACACAAATAAAAGCATGCCCCATGCTTTCCCATATTTGCTGGGTGTTTGTCTTCCCCCCAGCTTCCCATATTTCCCCATGTTTTCCTGGGAGTGGAGGATTAAGTGTGTCGGTGTCTTTTTCCCCCTCCTGAAGTTAAAGCGGAGACAGGATCGAGCGGGAGCGTCCTTGTTTGCCAGGGGGGGCGTCCGCGGCGCCGAAGAGGGAGCGCCAGTCCTGAGCGAATAACGAAGACTATATTGAGCGGGAGCGCCGGTTTTGCTGGAAAGCCAGATTTCGTCCGCGAGCAAGAGCCCCGCGCAGAAAAGCAGGAAGTATCGAGCTGGAGCGTTGCTGTTGCTTTGTTGTTGCTGCTGTTGTTGTTGATGCTGTTGTTGCTGCTGTTGTTGTTGTTGATGCTTCATGTTGTTGTTGCTGCTGCTGCTGTTGCTGTTATTGTGATTGTTTTTGTTGTTGTTGATGTTGGTTTTGAAATTGTTGTTCTTGTTGGGGGGTCGGTTTCGGCGCAACCCCCAAAACGACTCAGCGTGAGCCTAGTTTTCAAAGGAAATGCAGCGGCCGCCGAGGCGAGAGCGCCAGGGCGTCTCTAAGAGGTCCACCAATAGTTATATTCACATAAATAATGTTCAAAATGGATTAGGAAATCCTCTGGGACTCTGGGAAACTCGTCAAAGCGGGAAACACATCGAACGGGAGCGTCGATTGTTGCAGGGAAGGCCGCTGGCGGTGCCGAGGCGGGATTGCCGGTCCTGCGTAACAATAAGTATCGAGCGGGAGCGCCCGTTTTGTTGGAAAGCCGGCTTTCGACTACAAAAAAGAACCCTGGTCCCGAGCAGGAAAAGCAAAGTATCGAGCGGGAGCGTTGAACTCTCACTACTGAAGTATAACTATTGTTGATCCCCCCCTCCGGTGACAATTAAAGTTTTTTCTGTTGAAATCTCTCCCCCGGGGGTTTCACCCTGTGTCTTTATCACGGAAAGTCACGGGGCTCAAACTTTGTTGTTGGCCACCGGTTTACAACAACAGCGGCTCTCGCCTGATACTTCCACTTCATATATTCCCAAATCGCGCTCTCGCGCAGGACTGCCTCCAAATTTGTATAAGACTCGCACTCTCGCATGAGACTTCCTCGCAGTTTATTCAGACGATGCACCCTCGGCGCTCAGGAATCACGCTCTCGCTTAGGCTTTCCTGACGATGTACTTTGAAATCGCGCTATCGCTCGAGAGTTCCTCGCTTTTCATACAGGTTCCACGCTTCAACAACCCCCCTGCTCGACCTGGTCGCCTGGGCCCGCCTTCCGACCTGCCCGCTATGGGTCTGCCCACCCGATCTGCCCGCCTGGTTATACCACTTGGTTTCTGCTCCTTGCCCCCCTCCTGTAAATTTCTCGTGATCCAATCTTCTCCCTCCCCCTTCCACCCGTCTTCTCTTCCCTGATTTTAGGGCCTGCACCATATGAACGTGGCAGGTAAGGAAGATATGCCCCCAAGGGGGTACGATCGAAGTCGTCGTCGTCGTCGTTGGTGTTGTTGGGAGCCGGTTTCGGCACCCCCCCCGAAACGCCTGAGCGTGAGACAAATGTGTAAAGGACATGCAGACGCCGCCGAAGCGAGAGCGCCAGGACGCCTCTGGGGGGTCCAACAATGGTAACTGTTTAAAAACATTGATTGAACAACAGCAACAACAGCAGCAGCAGCCGAGGCAGCAGTAGCAAACACGACAACACCAACAGCACCAACAACAACCTCAACAATAACAACAGCAGCAACGACACCAGCAGCAACAACAACTACAACAACACCAACATCCAACATCCAACATCTATCAGCATCAGCATCAGCATCCTCAGCAACGGCATCATCAGCAGCATCAACATCACCATCAACATCAGCAGCATCAGCATCAGCCTTGTCGTCATCATCAGCAACAGCATCAGCAGCAACACTGACAACGCAGCAACAACAATCACAACACCACCAACAACAACAACAACAACAACAACAACAACAACAACAACAACAACAACAACCCGCAACGCGCAATCCAACTTCAACCATGCGCCCAAGGACAATGATTGACCGTTCGGCACCCTCACTCTGACAGATACCGCTACTCCCCAGACCTCTCCAGGTCTGTGTTCTGACCAGAATTTCGGGGCGAATCCAACCATGGCGACGGGGGTCCGTAGGGCCCAAGGGGCGAAAGCGAGGGAAAGAACTCCAACGCCGATCCGAGAACCCCGCGCGGATCCCTCGCAAACTTATGCCAGTGCCGCACTTCCGTCCTCGAGCGGACCTCGCCCTCGTAGCCGGACAGCCGTTGGCACAGCTCGCACAGCTCGCGCACCTCCCGGGCGGCGAACATATCCGCATCCGCGCCCTCGCGGTCTGTGATCGGCCTGTTTTCCACCACCACCACCATAAGTTGGAGGGGGAGGGGGTCTTCCTCCTCCTCCTCCTCCTCCTCCTCCTCCTCCTCCTCCTCCTCCTCCTCCTCCTCCTCCTCCTCCTCTTCGTCCTCCTTCTCCTCGTCCTCCTCCTCCTTCCCCCTCCAACTTATGGTGGTGGTGGTGGAAAACACGCCCATCAGTCTGGGTTCCAGGGAGCGTCCCGCGGATACGCCGTCGCACGGATACGTTCCGCGCGCGGCGGCCGCGACAAAGACGCCCCGCATCCGCTTGGGTCTCGGCCCAGGGGCCCTGTGGCAAATCATGGGAGCCTCCCGTGCCATCTCGCTGGCCCTTGCGAATCGACGCTGTGTCGACGGCCATCGACGCCAGTCGGGGCCAGTCGACGCCAGATCGGCGTTGTCGCATCGACTACCAGACGCTGGTCGACGCTGGCGCACTCTGAAGAAGGAATTGCGAGGGTACAGAAGGCTCTCGTGATCCGCACCCGACGGGGCCTGGCCCGCGAGACCACGGAGATGCACGTGCCTTTCGCCTCCGCGCACCGTGCGGCCCTGGCCGCTGCCGATGTTGATCGGCGTGCCGTCGCAGAGCGCGGGGGCGTCCGAGCCCGCCGCGAGGCAGATGGCGCGGGCCGCGTCGCCGACGTAGACCTCGGGCGGGGCAGAGGTGCCGATGCCGCTGCCGTGGCACGTCGTGGGGGCCTCCCGTGCCATCTCGCTGGGCACGTGCGAATGGACGCAACACGACGCTCATCGACGCTAGATCGGCGCTGTCTCATCGATTCTCGGACGCCCGTCGACGCTAGTGCGATCTAGAGGCAGAGCTACGAAGGTATACAAGGCTCGCATGATTTGCTACCGAACTCGTGCTGGAGAGCCCTCATCACCACGGCAAGACCAATCAACATCGAATCGGGAAGTCGGATCGAAACGAAATGGTCGGCGAATCACGCTGCATCGGTGATGAGTCGAAATCGCATCGGATCGGCTGCGCCAGGATGCACAACAACGCCATGCAAGCATCGTGCTGTACTGGATTGCTGGAATGTCGACATCGAATCGGATCCAGCCGGCCGAAGTCGACATGGAATCGCATCGATCAGATCGAAATAACCCCTGGAGAGCACTCGTTACCACGGCTGGCTTCTCCTCAAGATTCGGGGGTCCCAAAAATAGTAAAGATAGTAATGAACTGCATATACATAAACTTTTGGCGCTCCGCGCGGATTTCTTGGGTCTGCGATGGAGCCCCCTCCTTGGCGCGCGGAGCGCGCTAGGGGAGGCGCCGGCGGCGCCACCGGGGGGGGGCCCCAGCGCGGATCCAAGAAATCCGCGCGGAGGGCCACACAGGTTTCTGTTTATGCCGTCTTGTCTTCCTCGAACCTCGCACTCGCCGAACGACCTCACAACGCGGTCTGTCACCATACGGCTCTGGGACCCTGGAGGCTCCGTCGCCCGGGCCGTCCTCCTTGGGAGACGGCCCGAGAGCTCCAAGACCGTGCGGTGCACCCCGCATGCCCACGGACTCCCCACGCGGTGTGGTCACCACACCGCTTGCGGGCCCCCGATGATAGGGGGCAACGATAGGGGGGGACTGGCATAGGGGGGACGCATCGACCTGGAATCCGCGATACATCGCCGATATATCGGCGATAGGCCCCCGATAATGAATCCGCACATTCCTGGGCGGGTTGGGGCTATCAGACCCCCATTGGCGATCAATGGGCGATGTGGGGTCGATGCATCCCCCCCTATGCCTATCCCCCCCTATCGTCGTTGCCCCTGGGATGAGAACACATCCCAGGAGAGATCCGGGGGTCGTCGGCATGAATACCTACCACGGGTTCGTGTCGTGTCGACCCCGGCGTTGGTTCATGTCACCCCCCCGCGGATCGTTTAACCTTGAACGATCGGCGGGTATTCGATCGCCAGATCGTTCCATACTGGCCGATTCTGGGCCACTGGCGGCGTTCAACCTTGAACGCCCGCGGCGGGGTCGCCGCCGGTCGACACGACGAGAACCTACCGCACTTTTTGGACGCCCGAAATGGGTGCCGAAAAAATGGGTACAATGCCCAACAACAAATGTTGTCCCAAACCAACAGCGGCCGCTGTTGAGCAGGCGGCCTTCTGTCTCGAATGGACACAGGCACCGGCGGCGTGGACAGCGAGCCCTGTTCAAAATGAACAAGATCCGCTGTTCGGCATGGTACCCATTAGTTCAGTACCCATTTCGGGCGTCCAGACACTTGTTCCCCCAAGACCCAGTCCCGGATCGCCTTGCCAGTCCTGGAGCAACAACGAACAGCATAAGCATAAAAGGAATCGGAGCTCCGCGCGGACTTCCGGCTCCGGCGCCGGGGCCTCCCTGGCGGCGCCCACAGCGCTGCCAGTCCAAGAAAGCCGCGCGGAGCTCCGACGGTGTATGTTCATGCAGTTTGTCGTTCCTCAAAGTCCCCCAGTTGGTCACGCTCGACAAGCCATCCCTGGCCGCGTCGCAGTAGCGCGCCACCACCATGGGGACCATGTGGCCGTTCTGGTCGAAGTGGTCGTGGGGGCCGTACAGGTTCGTGAGGACCAGCGTGGCGCTCCGCAGCCCGTACTGCTTGTGATGCTGCCGCAGCGCCTCTCGAAGGAAATGCGCCCGGAGGTCCGCCCGGATGTCGTGTAACGGTGCGGGACCCCCCCCCCTGGCGCACAGAGGGCGCCGCCAAGGGGCTGCAGCGCCGATCCGAGAAGTCCACGCGGAGCCGCAAAAGCTCATGAGCGATATTCTGGAACCCCGAAAATGCAATTTGAATAGAAAGGACGCGATCACAAAACTTCACTCGACTCGGCCTCGACCGCTGTGCGAATCAGGAGGTCGCCAGGCCAACTGGGAACGCCACACGAGCCGACCAACGAAAGGCAAGCAGATGCGCTGAACCGTGGCCTGAAGCATGCAGCATGGACGAGAGTGCCGCATGCCAAACGAGAGAGCGCAAGGGAGGAAAAGAGAGAGAAAGAAGCGAGATGCCTAAGCAAACACATATGGGCATGCAGCTCTTTCTGCTGCGAGCCTCGTGCAGCAACCTCTTCGAGATGCCGTAGGAGGCGATGGAGGCGCTCGGGAAGCCGTCCCAGAGCACCTCCTCGCGCATCACGCCGCCCTCGCCCTGGCCTCGGGTCCCCTTTTTGATTGTGAAGACTCAGGGAGGCCAAACTAGGCCTGCGTGCCTAAGGCGAGAGTGTGGGGTCGTTGGGCGAGCATAGTTCTATCGGGGGGGGGGGTACGGAAGGGTAGGATAGCGAAAGATAGGGTAAATAATCAGCTCACGTAGCTTGTTTTCCTGGCGCCTCCTGGCGCCAGGAGGCGCCCATGTGTCGAGGAATGGGCCAAGCGGCGGGGCCGAAACCAGCTGCATGCAGCAGATTTCGTAACCCCTCCTTTCCCTATCCCCGCCTCTGGTTCGGCCCGACATGAGAAGTGCACGCCTGAATCATCTATATTTATATCTATGAAAACAAATTATATATATATATATATATATATATATATATATGTATGTATGCTGATGCTTTGCTGGGCAAGCCTGCACGAGTTTGGAGCGGTCGTTCTGGGTGCGGTCGTTTAAGTCGTGCCTTATTACAAACGGGCCGCTGAAAGAAGGAACGCTGAATACGGAACGAGCCCCCTTGGGCCGAAAACAAACAAATGCGCGCGACAGGGGCGGCGCTGGAGGCGCCGCCAAGGGGGGGCCCAGCGCGGATCCAAGAAGTCTGCGCGGAGCGCCAAAAGTTTCTGTTCGTGGCGCTTTTTCTTCCTCGGCTATTCCAACGCCGTTTGACTGCAGAGCGCCTTCGGCGCGGCCGCGTCTCCAAAAGAACCACTTGAGGCGCCCCGCCCCAGGTCGGCCTGTGGAGGGGCCAGCCCGACTTGAGCCCAGCCCTGGCCTGCCGACTCCGGGTAAGCGCACACCGTGCTCACGAGCACGAGCTTCCCCAGGCCCGCGGCGCGGCCCTCCTCCAGCAGCATGAGGCCCATCACGGCGTTCTCGTAAAGGAAGCGCCCCGGGTTCGCCACGTTGGCCCCAATGCCGCCCACCGCCCCTGCAGCGTGGATGAGCACCTCCGAAGGCGCGAGCCGCCGCAGAAGTATAAACTTCCGGGGAGGTCCGCGCGCGCCCGAGAAACTGCATGCTTAGTGTGGGGCCTCTTGTCCAGCGGGACCGAGAGGAATCGATACCGCAACTGCCCAGACCTCTCCCCGGGTGCCTCCTGACCAAAACTTCGACGCGACGCCAGCCGTGGCGACGAGGGCCTGACATGAGGCACCAACAGCGGAAAACGAGGGAAGGGTAGCGGTATCGGTTCCTTGTCCTTCGAGCCTCAGAACGAGAGGACGTGGTTTTCGGGCCACAGTTTGGCTGCCCGGCTGATGTTCGGGACGACCCGGGCACCCGTGGAACGCTATCGGCGAGGCGCAGCCGCTGAAGCCGCCCTGGGGCCGGAGAAACGCCGAGGACAGACTGAACAACGCGAAGACCTCTAACCTCAGAAGCCTCTCATCCCCAGATGCAGCCTTACGCAGCTCTTGCCTCGAGCGGAGCACCTCGGGCCTCAGGTCCGCGTACAGACGCCGGACCGCCGCCTGCTCGGTGAGGTCGAACTCCGAATGCCTCACGGGCAGCACCTCGGCACCCAGCTCCCGCAGGCGCTCCAGCAGGTGCCTCCCCAGGAAGCCACTGGCGCCCGTCACCGCCACGCGCCGGCCCCGCAGGCCGCCCTCGGTGGGCCTGGGCCTCTCGCAGAGGAAGGAAAGAAATGCGCAGGCATGGACTTTCTGTGATGGGCCTGTTTTCCACCACTGCCACCACCATACGTTGGAGGGGGAGGGGGTCCTCCTCCTCCCTCCTCCTCCTCCTCCTCCTCCTCCTCCTCCTCCTCCTTCTCCTCGTCCTTCATCTCCTTCCCCCCTCCAACTCATGGTGCTTGTGGTGGTGAAGACAGGCCCATCACTCGGAGTTCCGCGCGGGTTTCTCAGCTCGGAGCTCGGGCCTCCCCCGGCGGCGCCCCCCAACGCCGCCTCTGGCGCGCTCCGCACGCCGGAAACCGCGCGGATCTCGGAGAAGTGCATGCTTATGCTGTTGTGTCCTTCCTCTGTCTTGGCTGGGGGCTCCTCGGCCATGGCTCGCCCCGCGCCGCGGCAGCCAGTCAGGTCCGGCAGGTGCTGAGGGGCGCGAGCCAGACATCCATTGTGAAGGTGCAGGGCTCTTGGAGACTATGGCCAGGGCATCCCCGGGCAGTCTTGCCCATCTCGGACTCAGCGTCTCCTGGGGCCGTCTTGGGGCTCATGGTGCCGCAGATGGTCCTCAGATGTTTCCAGATGCGTCAAAAAGCCTAGGACCCAAGAGGACCTATGGGGGGAGCCCGATAAGGTCTCCGACAGGGAACGGCGAACGATTTCTGGGGACACGGCTTGGGAGCCCGCCCATTCCCCATTCCTCCCCCCGAGATGTCCCTAAATATCCCAACGTGCCCACAGGAGGCCTGGAGTCCGCCGAGAAAGCTTCCAAGAATCACGTCCCGAAGCCCCGAAGATGCCCTCGACCACGTACCATTCGGAGCAGCTGCGGGGGAATGTCCACGAGCATGACTGGCAATACTTCGTTGTCTTCCACTGTTCCCACAGCGCCCTTGCACAGACTCTCAAGAGTAGCACCCCCACCCTCGTGCGTCGCGACTGGGGGAGGGGAGCTTCGGGGCACGGACCCCGCTCGAGCGCCAGGCTCGAAAGACACCGAAATCGCGCCTCCGCCCGCAAGCCGTTTTGCGCTCAAACCATTGAGCGTTGCAGGTACAGGATTCAAAACGGCACTTCGTGCCTGCGAGTCATTCAGCTTCGGTAGAGGGCCGTTCCCTCACGCTTTCATAACCATTTCGCCGCCATGGGGAAGGGCGGCCAAGGCAAGCGTGGTCCTGGAGGTCACGGAGGCAAGGGCGGCAAGGGTGGCAAGGGCTTCCCTTCGGCGGCTGCCCTTGAGCGGGAGCTCGCGCTGTGCGATGGTGGCAGTTCTCCTCCTCCACCTTGGGCTGCGCGCGTCCCTGGGCTTCAACAAGCTGCTCCTCCTGCCCTCTGGACATGCTCGGCATGCGGCTGCAGGAAGAACGAGGTGCGCTGGTCGCGCTGCAAGCATTGCGGCTCTCAGTGGACCCCGTTCCAGCCCTACACGCCCACCTCCTTCGGCACGCCTGGTGGAGTCTGGTCAGCTGGCCTCAGTGGCAGCCTGCCGTTCTCCCCTTTTGCTGGTGGACAAGGGCCTCCAGGCACCTTCGCGCTCGGCGACGGTGGTGGAGGCAAAGGTGGCAAGTCGGCAGGTGGACCAGTCAAGCCTGAGTCCCTTCTCTCTCGGGAAGAGCACGCGTCTTTGGCGGAGCTGCTGGCCAAGTCTGGCGACGCGCTGGGGGCGGCCAAGCATCGCGAGCTGGCCATGCCTCCGCCAGCGGTCAAGGAGCCTACCTTGCAGCACCAGGTCTCCATGGCCCACAGCAAGTGGCGCGGCCCCGAGCGCAAGTTGCAAGGCGCTGTTCAGAGATGCGAGGAGTGGTCGTCTCAGATGGTGGAGCAGCGTGCATTGGTCACCAAGTTCACGGAGGAGTGTGAGCAGGCCGACGCTGAACATCGTCGACTGGTGGCCGCCCTTCATGCTCAAACGTCAGCTCCTGCCCTGCAGAAGGATCCAGTTGACAAAGCTGTGCCATGTTCGTTGTCTTCGATCATGGACGGGTCCTTCACCGATAAGCTGGTCATCGACCCCTCGGAGCTGCTCGGTGGCGTCGAGGATTTCGAGCTTTCTGAGTCCGACAAGGAGGAGCTCGAGAAGAGGGGCAACCAGCTGCGCGATGGCATCCAACAGTTGGCCCAGCGTCTTTTCGCTCAGGCCTCTGAGGCAGCCAAGCAGATCCAGGAGGCGCACAAAGAGCATCTTGGACGCCTGGCCAAGAAGAGGAAGACCGACGAGGGTGCAGCTCCTGGCGCTGACGGTGGTGGTGGTGCTGAGCCAGCCGCAGCCGCTCCAGCCGCTGGTTCTGTGGCAGCAGCAGCTCAGCCTTCGGAGGTGGATGCAGAAGCTGCCGCCTCTGCTGCACTACGCCAGCGTGCCGCCAAGATCATTCAGCACGGGCTGCCTGAACAAGACTCTCCCCCTGCTGCCGCGTGAGCTTCAGCAGGGGGGCCTTCATCGTGAACACGTTCATCCCAGCGGCACGCTCACTTGCCCAGCCTGGCACATGTTCTCTCCGTTCCCCTCGGCAGGGGACTTTAATGCTCTGGGCCTAGGCCTTGCACCTTGGGGCGGAGACGAGAGTTGCCCAGGCTGGCAAGCAGAGCCCGCTCCCGCTGCAGCTGCAGTCGATGCTCGCCCTCGTGGGTACCTTCAGCCTGCTGCTGACGGAGTAGGGCCAACTTTTTCTTCTGGAGCCTTGGACCTCGAGGCTTCAGTTTCTCCATGGCTTTATTCTGGATCCCTGGATTTTTTTCCGGGGCTGTCTGGACAGGCCGTCTTGCCTTGGGAGCCTCCAGGGAACGTACGATAAAACTGGAGGCCCCCTCGAGCAGTACCCACCTTTTGCTCGAAACAGCTTGGAATCTTTGGCTAGGACGCTCCCCCATCCTCTGCGGGAACCCGACTTTGGGGCTGGTGATCTCGGCGTCACCCGGGCCCCATCTTGCTCGGCCTCAGTGTGCAGTCTCAGCTCTTTTGCCTTTCGGCGTTCCCGCTGGACCCCTCCCCATGTGAAGCGACCGTCTGCCTTTAAGAGATCGCACTCGTCGCTCAGTGGGGCCGTCAAGCACACCCTTTGGAGGGCCAAGCGAGTTCTCACCTCTGGCATCGCCTACTTTGCACGTGCTGTTCACAGTGCTGCCTCTTGCGAGGCGCATTTTTTCGGGTTTGCCAACCCGTGTGATGAATATCCAGTGCCCGTTGACTTGCAGCCGCGCAGTCCTGTTGAGTTTTTCAGCGGCCCCTCGGACCCTTCGGTGAGTTTCGTCGCCTCGGGTTCCCCTGAGGCCTCTGGAGGCCACTGCTCGGCCCCTCTGGACAGTCTCGAGATTTGCATCCACGCGGCGAATTGCAACCGATGGTCGACCATGAGGGAGCTCATGGCCAAGACTCCTGCTCACATTATCTTGTGTCAGGAGCACAGGATGCGAGACGAGGAAGATCTCTCACAAGCCTCGGCGTGGTGTGCTCGCCAAGGGTGGAAAGGCATCTTTACCGCGGCCCACGGTACCGCTTCTGGTTCCACGTCTGCTGGCACTTGCATCCTTGTCAGAGACTTTCTTGGCCTTCATGAGCCCCCTGGAGGGGCGGTGGTTGCTGACGGCAGGGCGACTGCTGGCATAGTGCACCTCCCGCGAGGTGACCGTTTCGCTCTCTGCTCGGTCTATCTCCATCACTCTGAAGGGTTGTCTGAGCGCAATGTCGATCTTTTAGCCACCATTGGCGAACGCATGTCGTCCCTTTCTCTTCCGTTTTGCATTGGAGGGGACTACAACATGGATCCAGGTACTTTAGCCAGCTCCAAGTTCGCCGAGAAGTTGGCGGGGCTGCCTGTGGTGGCCGAGGGGCACACTCATTTCGGCGAGGGCCCTCCTTCGTCCCTGGACCACTTCGTTTTTTCGGGGGGTCTGGGTAAAACGGTCAAGAGCTGTGAGGTCATTCAGGACACCACCTTGAGCCCCCACAGGCCTGTGCAAGTGGTGTTGCATGCTTCGTTCGGTAAGTTGAAAGGTCTCAGCTTCAGGAAGCCCCCTCCTCTCCCTGCCACGGCTGTGATAGGACCGCGTCCATCACCCCCTGACTGGACTCTTGTGCGAGAGCTTGCTGACCAGGCCTCCCATTGTGTTGCTGCAGGTGATGCTAGGGGCGCGTCGTCGCTTCTCTCGCCTTGCTATGCTGCCTGGGCCGACAAAGCCGAGGCTGAGCTTGTGCCGATTTTGGGGCAGTCTGTCCCCTGTCTTGGTTCGAGATCCAAGGGCCCTCAGCTTGTCTGGAAGAAGCTTGTCGGTCGTGACCATACTATTCGGGATCCTGAACATCATGCTGTGCGGTGGCTCAGCGTCCAGTATCGGGCCCTAGCTTCGCTCCTGGATTCGAACCAAGGCGATGCTCCTCAGGCGAAGTCGCTGACGACGCTGCTACAGGAGCCCCCATCTCATTTTGAGGTTACTGCTGCTCTTCGGCCTCTCTTTGGTGAGGTAGCCCGTGTTGTCGCCAAGCCTTGTCGTGATTTCTTTGGTGATAGTTTTAACGACGAGGCTCTTCGGGAAAAAATCGACGTTGCGGTCAGTAATGCTCATACTGCTGCCAAGAAGAGATCCCGTCAAACTTGGCAAGCTTGGATTCGCGAAGGTCTGGACGAGGGAGCGAAAAGAGTTCACATGTATACCAGGGACCCGTCCCCTTGGAAGGCCACCACCACTCTTTCAGCTGACGGCACCATCGTGTCAGATCCCCTTGCGTCGTTGGCTTCGGAAGGTTTCAAGTTTGCCGCTTTTCGGGGCCAAGGCTCCGGAGCCTCAAGGGGCCCCCCGTCGCTCGGTCCGACTTTGCCGAGAGTCTCGGCCGACGAAATCAGGGCGGTCTCCAAGAAATACAAGAGGGGTTCGGCGGTAGCCTATGATGGCTTCAATTGTCGTCACTTTCAGTACTTGTGTGATGATGCGTTGAACTCGCTTGCCGTCATTTTTGAAGTTATGGAGGCGCTCGGTGAATTGCCCGAGCAGATTTCTGCCGTGCTGCTCGCGCTTCTCTCGAAGCCCACTGGCGGCTACAGGCCTATAGGGGTGTTCTGCTCCTGGTACAGGGTGTGGGGGAAGCTTCGGCGCCCCTTCGCCCTTACCTGGGAGCAAGAACACCCCCGTAGGTACTGGGCTGCTGGTGGGCATCGAGGTGCTGCTGACGTCGTTTGGAGGCAGTCTGTTCGGGCTGAGCACGGCACGGCGTCGAAAGAGGTCTCGTGCAGTGTGTTCTATGATATGCTCAAGTATTACGAGACCATTGACCTTGATAAATTGATGTCGCAATGTCAGAGACACGGATTCCCCACTCCGATTGCTCGCCTTTGCATCTTTGCCTTTCGGTGTGGTCGGTTCCTGTCCTTGGGAGGCATCCTTACTGGCCCATTTTGTGGAGCGAGGGGTGGTGGCGGGCTGTAGTTTCGCCGCCACCCTCATCAGGGTCTTTGCCCTCGACGCGTTCGACTCGATTCCCTTGACCCCCAGATGCGACCTGGACATTTACATTGACGATTCGGGTATTTCTGCGACTGGCTCTCGTCACCGTGTTATT